TATTCACATACATGCTATACTCTCCAGTTTCAACTAAGCTCTACACATATTAAAAATTATACCAAAATATAATAAATCCTTTTTTTTTACAGCATTAGATACTATAGATAGGTCTTTATTTCATCCTTTTATTTCAAAACTACTCTTAATATCATATTATTGGTATAGAAATCAATGTCTGGACTGCGACATCGCCTATGGACGGGCGGGTGGGCACTGCCCACGGGCCTTAAGGCCTTTTTAGTAACTAAGTAGAATTCCTTGACCTCGTGACCTACATTATTTGTATATTTTTTCTTTATATTTTTAAGTAATTTAATTATATGTACATAGTAGTAGCATTAGCATATAGTAGGTTTAGAAGTATAATGATTTGACACTACTGCCAATTTTCTGACCGAGGTCAGAAAAATGAGCTTTAGAAGCCTTTATACAATGACTTGATACGACTATCAATTTTCTGACCGAGGTCAGAAAAATGGCAGTAGAAGATACAATGATTTGATACGACTGTCAGTTTTTTGACTGGGGTCAGAAAATTGAGCTTTGGAAGCCTTTATACAAGAAATTCCATCAAAATGCTAGGGGATCGGGTTGACCCTCAAAACTGACTATACCCCTGACTTGATGGGACTCCCATGGGACTCCCACGGGACTCCCGCGGGACTCCTATGGGACACCCGTGGGACCCCCACTATTATAAAGCTTGCTTAACCAATCGGGGAGCTGTAAATAGAAGGTCTTACTATCTTATGATCTATCTTCGCGCTAGTTATTACTCGGCCTACTATAGAGTACTCAAGGTATAGAGGATAGATGCGATCGTTAATCAGAAGATTTTTGAGAGGTAAGTCAAGATTATTCTATCCTTATTATACTCCTAAGTCCCTCCCCTCTTTACCCCAGTCCTCTACGATATAATGATTATTGGAATATCATGTCTCAATACGATCTTTATGCTGAGGCTAGCCCTTCGTCCCAGATTGCCTCCTCGCAAATTGGGATACCTCCACCATCTTCACTCTATAATCTTGATTTGATAGATGAACCCCTTACACCAGACCATTCGATTAGCCAGCAGCCGATTTATAGCGTACCACCATCCTCAGTCGTTCAGTCCGAAATTGAATCAACACCTCTTCCACCTAGTCTTCGTCGAATCGGTCCACGAAATCAAAAGTTCTGGGTTCTCTGGACTATGGAGAATAAGGCAGAGTTTATTGAATGGTGGAGGAATACAACTGGTGCTCATCCATACCCTCCACTCTATAAAGTGAACTTCGAAGCACGATATACATCTTCTGCTTGGGATCAGTTTGACCAGGTAGCACACTATCAAACTGGAAAACCAATGGCACTCTGTCGGAGATGTGGAAAGGTGCTATCGCACCCATCATCAACCTTGAATGGGTCGAAATCCCTAACTGCGCACTTGAGTAGCCGCGCATGCAAAACTGGCGCACAAAAGGACTCAACCCAACAGGATATACAACAATCGTTTGAACTTTCGGTAAGACTAGGGTCTTATAAATAATCTATCTAAGGCTAACTTCTATATCATTCTTAGTCAAACCGTGTATCTACTCGAAAGGCCTTTAATCTACAAAGATTTGAGAGAGCCCAGGTAAAATTTATCGCAAACTCTCGCCTTCCATTTCAAATCCTCCGGCACCAAGAATTCCAAGATCTTATAGCAGAGGCACAGCTTTCACCACAACCTTTGAGCCTTCTTTCACCGAAAACTGCGCGGCGTCGACTCCAATCGATTGTCCAGGCAGAACAGCAAAAGCTACTCTCCCACCTCCCCGCTGGGGCAAAGCTCTCGATTGCTCTTGACTGCTGGACCTCACCATTCCAACAAGCGTTTATGGCGATCACAGGGTATTTTGTGGATATCGATTGGGTATATCATGAGATACTTCTAGGCTTTATGCCGGTTCATGGCCAGCATACCGGCGCTCACTTGGCAGAGGTTCTCCTCGGTGTTCTTTCTGACCATGGGATCGTTGATAGGGTGATTGCAATTACTACTGATAATGCGTCAAACAACAAAACCATGGTTGAAAGTCTTTGTGAATCGATCCGACAGATAGATCTCCCGGATTCCACTGAGATTATACGGGTTCCATGCCTTGCCCATGTGATTCAGCTGAGTCTAAAAGATCTTCTTGGCTTGATGAAGGCCAATCCAAAGAATGATAAAACCGCGACCGTATGGTCAGAAGAAAATGGGAGCATCCTTCAGCAAGCAAAGCTACAGAAGGGAATTATTTATACACTTGCAAAGGTATATATCTAACCTCTATAAAGGTATCTTATATTAATCATGATTATAGGTTCGCGCTTTTGCTGTATTCATCAATGCTAGCCCACAGCGACGGGAGGCCTTTCTGAATCTCCAGAGCGACGGAATAAAGCTGGCTCCAATCCAAGATGTCCGCACTCGGTGGAATTCCACATATCTTATGCTCCAGCGTGCCAAGCGCCTTCAGACAATATTCCAGCGGTATTGTACAGAGCACCAGCGCCCTGAGTTCCACATCAGTAAAGGGGAGTGGCGCCAAATCGATTACCTACTCTGTATCACAAAGCCTTTCTACAAGTGGACGGTCGGTCTATCAAAGATCAAGACAACAACCATTCACAATGTTTTTATGGTATATAACCGGCTATTCACACATTTTGAACAATCCCAGGCCCGACTTCGTCGTAAGAAGGTGCCCTGGAAGAAGGCTATGCTAGCGGCTCTTGAAGCTGGAAGGGAAAAGCTTTCGGTATACTACCAATTAACAGAGGAAGCCCATGGTAGCTTATACGCCATAGGTACCATTCTTGCTCCCCAGTATAAGCTCAAGTTTTTTGAAGGCCCAGAATGGTTAGGTCAGGTTCAGCTCAATGATACTATTTCCTCTTGGCATGATATATACAAGTCTTCGCTTTATAGCCATCTTGAAGACTATTCGAAACATCAGCCAGAAAGGGAAGTACCACCCACAGCGATACCTTCGGCACATTATACAGAGGATGAAATGGCAAGCCTTCTCGCTGAGGATCAGCCACCGCCCCCACTACCATCAAAAGCCACTGGTTGGGAAGAAGAACTTAAGGGATATCTCAATCTTGGTAAGTTTATACTATCCTTTTACTATTTTACGAACCACGTTACTAACTCTCTATAGAATGGAGCGCAACGAATCCATGCCATTTCTGGAGGGAGAATGCGCGTAACTTTCCGACACTCGCAGGACTTGCACGGGACGTCTTTTCGATCCCAGCCACAGGCGCAGGTGTTGAGCGTCTCTTTAGTACTGCTCGCGATATTTGCCATTACCGACGGGGCTCTTTAAATGAATCGACGATTCAAGATCTAATGATGCTCCGTTGTTTATCAAGGTTTGACATTAGAGATGAAGAAACTGAGGATACTGTTCAACCTGAATCCGTTCTTAACCAAGACGAAAGAACAGAGATTGACGAACAAAGGGAGGTAGGACTTCCTGACTATACGCCAGAGCCAATCAGTGATGGTGAAGATGGCGAAGACAGTGTAGACGATGAAGCCGACAACGTTAATCCAGACAATATGGATACCGCCACAGAAGAGGCAGAGCCAGATCATTCTATACGCCACCAATTACCAGTGATTCCGTTCAGTCAACAACGTCCCCAAAGAGAACGCAAGCGACGAAGAGATGATGATTTGTATACTTATACATAATAGAGATAGATTAGTATAGAATTTTTTAACAGCTGTTAAAATATCAAATTCTACTGTCTATCAGAAATTGCGCTCTAGATATAGCACTGCAAATCTACTATTTTTGTCCTAATACCAAGCCCAAAGTATTATTATCTCTATTCTTTGAGTAATTAAAATACCCAAAAAAACAGTGGCATTCTTCATAAGTTATGCAGGTCACATTTTTCTACATGTTTGCACTGTTTACAGTCCCATGGGAGTCCCATCAAAGTCCCATGGGAGCGGACTGGACTGCTTAGTCCCATTCTTGGCACTCCCATGGGACTTGATGGGACTCCCATATGGTCCCATGGGATAGTCCCATGGGACCACTCCCATGGGAGTTGGCAAGGTCTACGCCCATCTTGAGTTACAATCGAAGGATTTAAAACTCCTAGAATAATAACACAAGTCTTTAAGTGATATAATTGACAGAATTTAGTGATATAAGCTTATAAAATAAGAATTATACTAATTATCTTTCGATCTACCTATAAGAAATATACTAGAGTAAGAGATAAAGTAGAATCCATAAGTAGTATTTTACTTATGGAAAATGCTAGGCATGTACCACTGACTTGAATATATATCTTCAAGCTGTTACAGTATGATTTGATAAGTTAATAAAAATACCACACAATATGATGTATTTCGATTAAAATTTTATTCCAATTCGTATCATATATATACTAGTTTCTCATATACATAGATATTTCAGTAAAATTTATAGATGTTGTAGATTAAAACTGCCATTTTACATGGAGTTGGCAAAACAGGTGTAAATAACAGTTATTTATTATGCAAAGTCAGCGAGTTATACGTCCATTTTGGGTGACTTTATGCAATGGTGGGCATCGTGGGCATGCCCGCCGTGGACGGGCCTTGGGCACCTCCTAGGTGCCCATGGACGGGCGATGTCGCAGTCTAATCATGATGTCCGTTGACCTTTACACGCGAAGCCAAGGTACGAGAACCGCGATATTGTTATAATACTGTACTGTATCATAGCGTCTACTTCCTGCCTTCCCAAGGTTCCGAATATGACGAAGTCTTTGACATCATGATAGCATCTCCATTGAATCATCTTTACCTTCGGCTATTAATTACAGTCTATAAATTGTCTTGTAAGTGATTACAGGTAAATATTTAAACAGCAATTAAGTACCTAGGCACTACATCAAATTTTCACTTTCATGTTACCCATCATACCTCCACGACTTCGGGAATATACAGCATTTAGTCAGCAACTTGTAATCTCACCATGTCGAAACTCTTTGAACCACTCAACATTGTGCACAAAGATTTAAAGCACCGCATCGTCATGGCACCCCTTACCCGGTTCCGTGCGAGTGACGACCATATTCAACTCCCCATGACAGTTGAATACTACTCTCAGCGTGCTTCCGTCCCGGGAACCTTGATTATCACAGAAGCCACAATCATCTCACCAAGCCACGGCGGTGTCCCCAATGCCCCGGGCATCTGGAACGACGCTCAAATTGAAGCCTGGAAGAAAGTAGTGGATGCCGTGCACGCGAGAGGGTGCTTCATCAACTGCCAGCTCTGGGCACCCGGTCGGGCGGCTGATAAAGCCACACTCTTGAAAGAAGCTGGGCATGGGCTTCTGTCGGCCAGTCCAGTCTCTTTGACAGATTGTGCCTGTCAGCCCCAAGCCATGTCGGAAAGTCAGATCCAGGACGCCGTCCAGGATTATGCGCAAGCGGCGCGGAATGCGATGAAAGCGGGGTTTGATGGGGTTGAGATCCACGGGGCTAATGGCTATTTGCTAGACCAGTTTTTGCAGAATACCTCTAACCAGAGGAAGGATGCTTATGGTGGAAGCGTGGAGAATCGCGCACGGTTTCCCTTAGCTGTTGCCGAGGGGGTCGTTCGGGCGATTGGGCCAGATAAAATTGGGTACCGTATTAGCCCTTGGAGCTCGTTCCAGGGCATGCGGATGGGCCATCCAATTCCTCAGTTTTCTTATCTGGTTGAGAACCTGAAGACTCTGAAGTTGGGGTATCTCCATGTCATTGAATCGAGGGTGCACAACAATGTTGATGTCGAAAAGACGGAGGGAATCGAGTTTGCGTTGGATATCTGGGGAAAGACTTCTCCTGTGTTGGTTGCTGGCGGATTTACGCCGAAGTCTGCGAAGTATGCAGTCGATCAAGAGTATCCGAACAACGACATCGGTGTTGTCTTTGGAAGATCTTTTCTCGCGAACCCGGATTTGCCATTTCGGATTGAGCATGATCTTGACCTCACTAAATACGATCGATCGTCGTTTTATGCCCCAAAGCAGGCTGAAGGGTACACCGATTACCCGTTCAGCAAAGAGTTTTTGGTTTCTGTGTCAGGATAGGCATGCTATTCAAGGAATGACCGACGATGAGACTGGGATAGCCGTTCAATTTGTGCAGAATAGAAAAAGAGGGTTCGACTGTATATCCTTCAAATCAGCGCTATCCAACCCCTAGCAGACCAATCAGCCACAATATCAAGCTCCTCAGTCACCAACACAATATGTCAGAAATATGGTGAATTTGCATGCGGATTTCTGGGTATTCACCCAGAGTATCTTACGACATCAATATCAGGTACCTCTCATAAAAGTGTGTCGGAACGTGGTCGTTACAGTACGAACTAGTACGGGCATAGCCAACTGAGTACTTGAGAATGTGATTTTGAAAATAAGGCTATAAGAGAATGCCCTGAAACGGAGGAACGTAGTGAAAGGGTTTACAACCGTGGGCCTGCCCTGAAACGAACGAAGTGATGAGAGGAGGGGGAAACTAGGCCTCGCCAAACGCGGGTTCGGGGCGGGTTTTTGGAAAATCTGTTGGTTTATTAAGTGATGCTTCAATGCTCATATTATTGAGGGGAGTTGATTGTGTGTTATGTTGCATGTATTGTGTAAGATACAAGTAGACTGAGAAGTCAAGTATATGAGTATGCATGTGATCCCAACCTCATTATTATCCATGCAACCAGGGTATCTCAACAAAATCTTCTTGCGTACCCAAATTACCCGTTTGTACCCATGGAAATGTGAGAGTCGGGAAGCACACCGCGTTCCTATTGGACGACTAACTCCTTATATACAGCTGACTACGTCGGGCGCTAAACCCAAAAGGGGAGAGGGAGAATCCTAACACCCCTCGAACCGACACAGGAAGCAAAAGGACAGAAGCAAAACATCCCAAACCAGAACACAGCCAATTCGATATGTCCATTCAGAAGACCCCAATCTGGCCCCCGAATCTCTTGAACGATTCCTCAGCCAGTGGCTTCGTGAAACCGTCAGCTGCCATATCCCTCGTGCCGATTGGAGTCGGGTTGATGATACCCCTGGCAGCAATGTCGCGGACGTAATGATATCGAATATCAACGTGCTTGGAACGCCTAGAAATGAATGACGTTCGAACAAGATCATGGGCACCCTTGTTGTCCATGTAAAATGTAATGGGCTCGGCGTCTGCCGCATATAAACCCATGTCGGCCACCAACCTAGTGAGCCACTCGACCTCTCTCGCAGCGTCGGAGACCGCCATATACTCGGCTTTGTTAGAGCTCAAAGCCACAGAAGCCTGGAGGTGTGATCGCCAAGATACCGGGCCGCCAGCTAGAAGCATAACGTACCCACTACAAGAACGGCGTCCCGGTGTAAGGGGACCGCCCCAGTCTGCATCGGTGTACAGTACTGGTGGAGGCAACATTCCGCTGCCTGGTCTGAAGACTATCCCAAGTTGTTTGGAGCCTTTCAGATATCGAAGAACCCTCCGTTGTGTGGATAGAGTCTTCTGTGTTGGTACAGTGTTGAAGTGGGCCAACAATGTTGGAACTCTTGCGATTTCAGGTCGCGTATGGGATGCAAGCCACTGCAATGACCCCGTTACGCTCTGATATTGTCTCTTGTCAATACTCAGGTCATGCAAATCGTCAATGACCAGACCCGGTTCAATCGGAGTGGCAACAGGATAGCAATCCGGCATTCCTGCATCGTCCAAAAGCTTGTCAATGAAGTCAGGCTGCGATAGCTTAATGCCTGCTTCTGTCTGTTCAACGCGAAGCCCAAGGTAGTGCTCCATTTGGCCAAGGTCCTTAATAGGGAACTGTTTTCCCATTTCGGAGAGGATCCATTGTATCTCGGTGCGGTTGGCACCGATGATTCCGAAATCGTCGACATGTGCAGTGACATATAGATTCGGTTTCGTCTTGTGAAGAAATAGCCCTGCATCGTAAGGGCTGATTCGGAAGCCAATTGCTTCCAGTTTCTCCCGGAGGGTGTCGTACCAAATCCGGGCTGCAGGTATAAGGCCATAGAGGGCCTGTTTGAGCTTGCAGACAAGAGTGCCTCTCTCGCCCTGCTCGAATCCATACGGTTGGCGCATGTAAACTGAATTTGGTAGCTTCCCATTCAGGAAAGCTGTGATAGCATCAGCTTGAGCTATATGCCATCCATAATGTGCGGCGGCAGCGAATAACACCAATTTTGTTGATGCCATGACAAAAGGTGCTGCTGTTTCGCCCCATAGGGATTGATGTCCGTTGGAAATATTTCCACGGATCACCCACCGCGCTTTATATCGCGTGGTGCCGTCGACTGCCTGCTTCTTCGCGAATCCCCACTTGCCAGGGATAGGACGTAGCCCAATTGGGACGTCCCCAGTGCGATTCAATTCCCACGTGTTCCGTTTGTGCAGGTCGTCAACTTCATTGCGACATGCTGCGTCCCAAAGGACCCGATCGACGCTTTCCATAGCTTCCTTGAAGCTTCTTGGCACATCCGCTGCCGACTGAGATGTTTTGGTCATGGCTGCGAAGACTTTGACTTCTTTCGCAGGTCGTACCCAATTATCATCGGTGATTGGGTCCGTAAGCTCCTCGGAGCTCGTTGAATCAGGCGTTTGTTTAGTCACTTGCTCCCCCCTTGGAACGGGGTTTGTCTGGCTGCGCCTGTCGGCCGAATGTCTCCAGTGTTGAAGAGGCGGCCAGTCTCTGGATCCCACACGGTGTAGATCGAGGCACCATTGTATCCGACAACGCGTCCTATTTTCCCTCGAGGTTCTAGCTTTCCGGTCGGTTCGCTCGTGCCATGGAGGTGGTAAAAAATGCTCGAACCGAAAGGAAGCAGGTAACTCAAATCAGCAGGGATTTTAGAGATCGCTTCGATCGGGATCCTGGTGTCCTGTGGCTGGATGCTCTCATCGATCGTCGTTCCACCAGGTGTGGGGTTATTTTAGAGAGGAGTGCTCGTCGGGGATATATTGGCAAGGAAAACTGCAGCGACTAGCGCGTGAAACCAGAAGGTCATTGGGAGACCTGATGCTATCCACATCGCGCGCGCCTTCTCTAATACCACTCGATTGGCCCGTTCTGCGGTACCATTCTGCCACGCAGAATAAGGGTTCGATGGCTCCCACTGGCATCCCCACTCTGTCATCATTGATTGTAATTCTCCGGATCCGAATTCGTTGTCAGATCGCAGAAAAGCAGGTGTTTTGAATCCGAGATTGTTGATGTGCTGACGCCAATACCGCAGACGTGCAGCAATTTCGCGTCGGTCTCGAGAGATCAGACTGTAAATCCATCGGAATCGCGTCGCATCGTCCGTGATCAGGAGAAAATATTTATAGCCATGCCGGGACTGCAGATTTGCCGCTTGAGAAGCGTCATCATCATCAGAGAAAACGTCCCCGCCACCCACGATGTCAACGTGGATGCGCATCAATGGCCGTGTGGCTCTCGAGGCCTGCCGACGACTGTATCGTCGGGTTATGTTCGCTTGGAGGCATACCTGGCAAGGCGGTTGGGCCTTGTCGCCTGTGATTTTCACTCCACTGCCTGGACGGTTGGCAAGGTAGAGTACATCTCGGTAATTGAGATGTGCAAGCGTGACATGCCATTCCCAAAGAGTCGTAGGGAAAGCAGATTTGATATCGATCGAGGCTTTTGAAACATGCTCATCTCCACTAGATGGCTTAGCCTTAATGTTGCTCTTTGCATTAGAGCTGAAATAAGCGACTAGCTGCTGTTCGCCAGCTATCGGAATGGGTTCATCAGAGGTCAATCGTGAATTAGCAGGAGTTGCTATTATAACGAAGGCCTGACTAGAGACCTCAAATGGTTCATCAGCGGTGAATGTGTAAACATCGCTTGAGTTTCGAACGGCAAAGAATCGCTGGTTCGATGGATCCTCCAAGACGTAGTGGAATGGAGGTGTTGATCTCTTGTGAAATAAATCCCTGATCATGCAGAAGCGCCTCTGACACAAGGTTGGAATCCGCTCCAGGATATGGCGGACGTCTTTCAGAGTGACAGTTAGGTCATTTAGCTTCATATTGACTGTTCCTGTTGAGTATCGCGGTGGTCAAAGCTTATGGCGGGACTAGCGATGGACATTTAAATAGATGGGATTCCCACTTTTGATAGTAACCTTAACAAGAACATTACAACTACCTATCTCAACAGGGTGGACCTGATTCACTGGGTGGAGATTCTTCGGCAACAAGATACGATGCTTAGATATGGATTGACTCGAGGCTTCTCTTGTGTTAACTTCCAATAAATGTGCTGAATTGACGTCATGAATTTCATTATTTAGACATGTGCTTTTTATTACTTATGATTCAAAAGAAACAAATTCTAAGCTACTATAGTTCAAAATTCATCAAAAGTAGCTGTCGGGACATAATATCCCGTTCTTGGTGTACGCGTTCTTGCGCGGAGCTGCGGCTCCGGTGTTGTGACCGCCGAGTGTCCGTGCATGGGATTAAGGGGTAGTTATCTTGGAACCTGACCTGACTTGGAAACATACATACAACACATCTATCTTACATGAATCAATTGACCTTTGCTTTGGAAGCATAACCACTGTCCACTTAACTGTGTACACAGTACCTAGTAGACTGCGACATCGCCCATGGACGGGCGGGTGGGCAGTGCCCACGGGCCTTATGTAAGCGGGCGATGGGCACTATCCATACGCCCATAGACGGGCCCTACCCTTAGGGCCCATTGTCCATGGACACCGTGGGCGCCCATGGGCCTTTTTAGTAAGCAGAATTTCTTGACCTCGTGACCTGCATTATTTGTGCATTTTTTTCTCTGTATTTTTGAGTAATTCGATTACATGTACAATGACTTGATACTACTGTCAATTTTCTGACCGAGGTCAGAAATGAGCTTTAGAAGCCTTTATACAACAACTTGACACATTGTCACTTTTTTGACCGGGGTCAGAAATGAGCCTTAGAAGCCTTTGCATAATAACTTAGGCATTCATTATATTTATACATTCACACTAATACGATACAAATTGATCATCATTGGGTTTGCCACGCTTCCTTGCTTCTCTTAAACTAGGGCGCTTTTAAGTGCTACCCTTATCTCCATAATGAGGGAGATAAGGACTGCTCTCATCTTCGCTATCGACTAGCTCACTTCTCTGTCGCTTCCGCGTACTTAGTACTATAGAAGGACGAGGAAGCTTACTCTCTATTATAAACTCATACTCGATCAGTCTAACAGGATCATTATCCTCGGAATCCTCACCATCGCTGATTGGTTCAGGCATATCAGTGGTAAGCTCAGCCTCTCTCTGTTCGTCTGCTTCTTGCATTGAATCTAAGGACGTATCCTCATCGGGTAGTTCTTCTATTTCAATGTCGAACTGGGTTTTATACCGGAACATCATGATATCCTGGACTGTCTTCGCACTCAGCCGCCTACGTCGGTAGTGGCAGACATCCCGTACTGAATTGAAAAGACGTTCAACTCCAGCGCCTGTTGCAGGAATAGAGAGAATGTCGCGAGCAACACTAGAAAGAATTGGGAATTCATTCTTATATTCCTTCCAGAATTGTAAAGGATCGACCTTTCTCCTTACTATTATAGGTATTAGTATTCCTGCTCGTAATAACAGTGAATATAACGTACGCTTTTCAAGGTATCTAGCAAGTTCGTGCTCCGACGTTAATAGATCAGAGTGGATATAAGGCAGAAGGTTAAGGAGGGCGTCTAGGTTACTTATACTAGCTAAGTGACGCTTAGGGGGTTGCTCTTCTCGTAGGGACCGTATCTAAGTGTGTCTTTAGGCGTAAGGAGCTATAAACTGGCGAAGCGTTTCCTTATACTAATCACTCCAGTTTATATCGTTCTCCGATATACCCCACGCCTTACTTAAGAAGAAGTGAAGCTTATACTGGGGTACAAGAATTGTTCCAATCGCGTAGAGACTACTATAGATCTCTTTCGTCTTTATATAGTAAGAGGTAAGCTTTGCTATCCCAGTATTAAGGGCTTATAGCATCGCCTTCTTCTAAGGTATGGTTTTCGGAGTGAGCCGTACAATCGATTCCTCGAAGTACTCAAAGAGGGCGTTATAAATACCAAAAATATAATGTACTGTTATCTCTTTGGTCTTTGAAAGCACTGTAGTAAAGCGATAGAACGGCTCTGTGATATACAGGAGGTAGTCGACCTACCGCTATTCTGCCTTACTGAGTTTATATTTCTAAGTCCCAATATTATCACAGTATTCATCGTAGGGCTTGCTGAGGCGTTTCGCACGACGAAGCATTAAGAAGGTAGAATTCCAGCGGGTACGGACATCTTAGATAGGCGCAAGTTTTGCTCTATTAGTCTAGAGACGGAAGAAATCATCGCGACGTTGGGGGCTTACATTAATGAACACAGCAAGCCCTCGAATCTAGATAGTTATTAGATATATTAAGTGATAAATAAAGTGATACACTTACCTTGATAAGGGTTTATACAATAACTTGTTCACTCTATGAAGCACGGAGCGATCGAGCTTGGGCTTGGGCTTGGATATCTGAAACATTCCGATCTGTGATATCGTTCTGGGGATCGGCCTTCACCGATCTAAGTAGCTCGCGAAGGCTTAGCTAGATAACATATATAAGACAAGGGATTCGAACAACCACCGGGCTATTCGGTAGTTCAAGGGAGTTAGACTGCGACAACGCCCGTTTTTGTGGAGACATTTTTAGCGTCGCCAAGACATATGCGGGCACTCTTGGCACGGTGGGTACTGCCAAGAACTAGTTATGTACATAAAATCACCGAATAGGGTAATTTTTGCATTATTTTTGCATAAGGATGGGCGATGGGCGTCGAATTTCAAAAGGCCCACGGGCCGTGGACACTTTCTAGTGCCCATGGACGGGCGATGTCGCAGTCTAAAGGGAGTCAATAGAGTCTTAAACTACCTGTACTAAAGTTGTGTTATTTAACGCGTTATCTAATATAATCGCTAATATACGATCAGTAATATTAAGCTTCTTAAAGATCTCCATAAGTACTTCACTTAGATTCACACCAGAATGCGCCCCATTAAGTGGTTCGAAACTAAGTAGGAGCTTACGGTAATTCCAGTCTCGGTCGATAAAGTACCCTATGATTGCTATAAATGTCTACTGAAAAGGCGATATCCAGCAGTCGAGGGCAATTGAGAGCTTCGCATCTTGTGGTAAGGTAGCGAGAATTGAATGTTGCTCCTCGTCGACCAATTTCTTAAGCCGGCGTTGAGCAGTGCGAGGATAGAGTAAAGTGGGTTCAGCTGGAGCCTTTTGTGCCATTCGAATTAAGGAAGCAAATTGCTTCCTCTTAAGTATCCGGAAAGGGAGGTTCAGACTGGTAAGACATTCAATCTACTCTCTTTCCCATTCATCATTCGAGAATTTTGAGTTATAAGATAACTCCAGTGCCTAATATATAATATATTAGTTATCTTGAAGGGTATAATCATATAAGACTTACCGGTATATACTGCATAGTCTCCTTAATCGACTGTTATATAGCCTTGCTTTTACCACCCTTTTGGCATTTGCCTGAGGCTAGATGCCGCTTGAGTGTATTGGTGCCGCTTTGCTTTGTACTTGGATGAGGCAATGTAACCCCACACGTCCGATATATAACCAAAGGTTCGCCTGTAATATGATGTGCTACCTAGTCGAAGTTCTCCCAGACATCTGATATGTGTTTTGCATCCTATCGTAGCCTTTGTTGTGTCTCAGTACTGCTGCCGCGTACTGTGGTACGCCACAACTCGATAAACTTTACTTTAGACGCGTTGTTTATCGCGTCGTAGAGGATAAACTGCTTTCTCCGATCGGGGCCGACGCGTTTGAGAGAGCAATTAGGCCTTGACAAGTCCCGCCGATTTGGTCCCGCCTTGGCGCCAAGTGGGCGCCAAGCCGCTAGTCTCAGTGCTGCCTTGGCATTATTATGCTGATCATCGTCCTATTTAGGTAATTTCCTAGCCTAAATAGGTATGGTCGCAGCACCACAGCACCAGAATTTATTTAGTACTGCGGGGCCGGGACCAAAAATCGGCTGGTGCTGCGGGACTTGTCAAGGCCTAAGAGCAATCAAGAATAGCCGGTTGAGTGAACTCGGACTCTATCAGTGAGATAGAAGTCTGTTGGCTGTTAAAGAGACTGGGATCAATATTTGGATCAAGGTTAGGATCAAATATATCGGCGACGTAGGAGAGGTCTGGTTGGGAGCTCGGAGGAAGTGAAGAAGGCCCTGCGGTATAGGTACTAGGTTGGGACATGGTTAATATGATGTAAGGGATAATATAACGACTATAGGAGAGTGAGTGATCTGAACTTACAATAGGTAACTTGCGACCGTGTGAAACGAGGATTACTAGTAAAAGGGGTGCTTTGTATAGATCTGATAGATCGTAAATTGAGTGTAGACCCACTATATATTATAAGCTGATTAGCTATAAGTATCTTTGTCCATAGGCACGCCCGTGGGCACGCCCATAGGAACATACCTAAACGCCCATCTTGAGTTACAATCGAAGGATTTAAAACTCCCAGAATAATAACACAAGTCTTTGAGTGATATAATTGACAGAATTTAGTGATATAAGCTTATAAAATAAGAATTATACTAATTATCTTTCGATCTACCTATAAGAAATATACCAGAGTAAGAGATAAAGTAGAATCTATAAGTAGTATTTTACTTATAGAAAATGCCAGGCATGTACCACTAACTTAAATATATATCTTTAAGCTGTTACAGTATGATTTGATAAGTTAATAAAAATACCACACAACATGATATATTTCGATTAAAATTTTATTCCAATTCGTATCATATATATACTAGTTTCTTATATATATAGATATTTCAGTAAAATTTATAGATGTTGTAGATTAAAACTGCCATTTTATATGGAGTTGGCAAAACAGGTGTAAATAACAGTTATTTATTATGCAAAGTCAGCGAGTTATACGTCCATTTTGGGTGACTTTATGCAATGGTGGGCATCGTGGGCATACCCGCCGTGGGCATGCCCGTGGGCCTTGGGCGTTATGGACGGGCACTCGAAAATCCAAATAGCCCAAGGCCCACCGTGGACGGGCCTTGGGCACCTCCTAGGTGCCCATGGACGGGCGATGTCGCAGTCTAGTAGACAATCGGCCTAAAACATGGTATAGCTATTGTCTATTATCAATATATATATTTGGGGGTAGATATTTTATCTTATCAGATTATATTTCTTATATTAAATCGGTACCAAAATAAATTACCAAAAATATATAGACTGACTAATCATATATTATATATCAGTTATATATTTTGATAGGTATAAACGGGTAATTTAGGTACCTACGAAGATTTTCTAAAAACCCATAGGCGGGTTTATGAAATATAAAACCCGCGATGGGTTACCTATGGGCGGGTTAGAAAAATGAAAACCCGCCCCGAACCCGCGTTTGGCGAGGCCTAATTATAACGTAGCTGATCATGTGATTTTGGGTTACAGTACGATTCGGGATTTTGAAATTGGTTAAATTAAAACAGAGACTAGCGTGTTTCAGGATTGAGTTCAGGAAAGAATCAAACAGAGTCAAATGGTGAAACTGATTTCGAGCGCGTCTGTATCTGCCCAAAACAGACACCCTTCAGGTTTTCGGTTTCTACTGTACCAAGAGAAAAAGGTTCGAGATCTTTTAGAGTGGTTGATACTACCTTCGATATATATATTCAGCTATGGTTGTGTGCCGAGTGGGAACTAACCCCGGACCGACGATAGACCCACCTACGGGAGGGCCTAGACTGCGGCACGATCCACAATATCCGCGGATATCCACAATCCATATCCGCAAACTGCGGATACAGTCAAACCTCCATATAACGAATTAATTTTGGGAATCAAATTATTCGTTATAACCAGGGATCCGTTATATAGAATATACCATATATTAAATACTAAAATATGAACGAATGTCTCCCTGCTGGCGATTCTGGGCGATGCCCCCCTGGATCTCCATCCTAAGCTTATTCAGAGTATGAATTAGCTTAATATCACCCTCCTCCTGTTGCTCCTGATAGAGCTGTAGCAGTTGCACGGCTTCAAGTGCACTAGCCGATAACACTTTAGGCATAACCTCAGGATCCTCTTCTTCCTCTTCATCATCAGGCGCCTGGAATTGAGCGAGGATTTGTAGGTCAATAGACTCGGAGCTATCGGTAACAATCTCCTCTTCAGGATTAAGAAAGTGCTGAATATCCATAGGGTTCTCGATAGCAGAGATAAATGAGAGCCTTTGTAAACCAGCCTCAATATCTAAGATCGTAGTATCCTCGGCTTGTATAGGAATCTCAGTACCACGAAGTGATAATCCTTTATTGAAACAATTACTAATGGTAGTAATCTTCAAATGAAACTCCTATGTAGCAATACCCTACCGGATCGCTTAGAGTATATCAACTGTAGATAACGGGTCCCGTCCAGCTTTATATTCATGAAGCATATACCGCACCCAGTCTCTTCGCCAATAGTGCTTCCACGTACGAATAATACCCTAATTAAACGGTTGATATTCGCTAGTTGAATTTGGCGGAAGCTAGATAATCAGGGTATTTTATAACGGTAAGGTTGAATTGATCTTATTGACTGCGTATATATAGGCCGAAAAATTGTCTAATAAAAGAACAACCTTACGGCCAGCCATCCGAAGATCAAACTACCGAAGCTATTCTTCTATAATTGAGCTCACTATCTAGGCCTTCTTATTAGCACGCCAATAAACCCCGAGGTTCTGGATATTGATATTGGTACGACGGAAGGCGTGAGGTTTCTGAGCTTATCCAATAAACCAGAGAGGCACTTTATCGGAGCCATCCATATTACAACAAAGATGGATTGTAACCCGGGCTTTCTCCCGCTTCCGGCCTGGGATTGTACGTGTAGATAGACTACGATCCGGGGTTAGCTTCCAAAGAAGCCCAGTCTCATCGCAATTATATATATCCCTTGGTTTGTAGTGGGCGATAGCTTGTCGGATAGACTACATTTCAGCGGGTGCTGAGACTGAGCTATTTAGCTCGCCATATTGTATACGGTGCGCGATCCCTCGGCGGGATTGAAATCCTTGAAGCCAGCTATTGCTAAATGAAGGCATTGGTAGCCCTTAGTATTGGGGTATATTCATCTAGAAAAACTCTGCTTTCTCGCGGATCGTATATAACGAAATAGTGATTGTAGCCTCTACACGTTGGATCCACTGGAAGAGGGCGTCTTCGAGCTCTGGCCAGAACTCCTGTCGGAAGCGTTTCTGGCTCTGGGTACGATTGATTGGGTTGTCAAGGTGGGTATATTTCGCAGAGAGGATTTCGGAGACCGAGGATGTTGAGATAACCTGCTGGTATTTGGCTTCGAACCAGCGCTTAAGCTCGATATTTGGAAAGGTAGGAAAGGCGCGCCGGTGCGCTCGTAGGGCTTGCTTTTGCTCGATAGAAATTGCTACACGGCGAGGCATATTGAATCTCGGAAACGATGACAAAGTGAGGTGCGCACAGGCCAGGTCGGCTGGGTATAACGGATTTTAGTATGGGGGGGTAGCGAGAATTAACGAAGTTCGTAGAAAGGAGGTTATTCGTTATATATATGGGAAATCAATTTTGGGAAAATTTTTAATCCGTTATATAGAGGAATCCGTAATATAGAGGTTCGTTATATGGAGGGTTGACTGTATGGATATTTTTTGATATTGTCAAGTACTATGCATTTATGCATGCTGAAATTACCAGGTCTTTACAAACCGGAAAATCAATGGACCGTCATGATAACGGTACCATACAAAAATACATACATTGCTTAATCAGCTATGTCCGCCGAGATTGGAAAAGAGCGGATCTTGTCATTTTAGTTAGAGAATTTACATATGTCAGATTTACCATACATTGTCGTATCCGTCTATTTCTGTCAGATATCCAAGATCCGCAGCCTTGCGGATTTGGATATAGACCTCATGTCCATTGGATATTTGCGGATATCCAATGGATATCAAACAATACAAACATGCCTAGACTCGTGACCTCGAGCGGTGTGCATTAATTTTATGTTTTCCTCTGTATTTTTCGTGTAATAGTATGTTATGTCAAATAATCAAAATCTGGATCTTTTGGGGGTTGTATGAATTTAAATCTTCTTATTCATTCATATATACTATTTATAGATCTAACTATGAAGGGCTACGGTCGAATTGAGTCAATTAAACGGCGCCTATATGCTGTTTAGCTAAAGTTTAGGAGTTTTACTATATAGGAACTCCACGATAGTGTTATATATTCTTAAAGTTGTAGGGTAGTGAGTGGCGGTAGTTCCTGGGCCCCAGCGCCTATTCTCTGACCTCGGTCAGAAATCCTCTTATAGCAGGTGTCTCTCCCTCTTTTATGACCGTGTTCAGAAACTTAGGCTGGGGGGAGACTGGCAGCGTGCACGGGTAAAGCCCGAGCTCTAATACTGGCACTATCCTATTATACTAACTGGAAGCCATCTGGTAGCCTTAGCTGTTTTCGAATCCGCCCTAAACGGCCTGGCATGCTCCTATCCACCGGTATCTCTGGAAGCTCATCATCCTCTTCAACAGCGTCGTATAGTCGGTTTTGAGGTTGTTTTCCTTTTGCCCGTCTACGTCGCTCGGCACTATCATCATCCGAGTCATTACTACCGCTCTCAGTATACTGGGTAGCCTCGAGTCTAGTCTCTTGATCCTCCTCCTCGTTATCACTGATAGGCTCCAAGACCTTAAGCTGTAGTAATGATCTCCGGGTTTGATCTAGCAAAGCAGCTTCACCTTAGGATAGATACTCTTTGATAATCCCTAGCTCCTTATATCGAAGATCAAAGTTGGTAGCAAACTGATACAGTATCAGGCCACGGATTGTACTCGGCTTCAATTAACCACGACGGTAATAACAGATATCACGAGCACAATTGAATAGTCGTTCAACACCAGCACTACTAGCAGGGATAGATAGAATGTCCCTTACCATCCTTACCAGGGTCGGGAAGCTCTGCTCATATTCCTTCCAGAAAAGTCGAGGTTTTTGTCGCTCAGTTCCACGAGTAAGATATCGTGCAATCTCGTTGTTATCTAGTTTTGCAAGCTCTTCCAATGGCTAGTTTTGCGATGTATAAGCAGCATCAAGATCACAGTTATCATTCTCATCAATAGCTACTCCAGAAGTCTCCAGTGCCGCTAGGTCATTGGCATCATAGGTAAGCATCTTCCTATATCGATCAAACTTTCGGTTTAGGACCTCTTGATAACGATTCACATAATTAATATCGCCCTGCCAATCAGTCGAGGAAAAGTACCGGACCTTCTTTAATAGAGAGAAGATTGTTGCTAGAGCGTAGATGTCACTATAAGGCTCGTATTCGGTGGCAGTGTAGTACTTGGAGAGCTTTTTCTTTGCTGTTTGGAGTGCCCGCAACATCCGTTTCTTCCAGATTACACCTTTATTCTTAAGCTTCGCCTCGGCTGTATCGAGATAGGAGAAAAGCTTATTATAGATACTGTAGATATTGTGTGCGGTAATATCCTTAGTCTTTGACAGCATCATTATAAAATCAAAGAAGGGCTTTATCAGAAGAAGAAGATATTCGACTTAACGCTACTCTTCTTGATCGAGCTTGAAATAAAGATATTGATAATTAGTATAATACTGATTATAGAATGTCTGGAGCTTCTTAGCCCGGTTGAGTATTAGAAATGTTGAGTTCTATCGTATCCGAATATCTTGGATTGGAATCAATACAGGCTCCGGCTGTAGGGCTATAAATGCCTCCCGACGTTATAGGCTTATATTAATAAAGACTGCTAGTCCTCGGATCTTCCATACTTTTATTAGTCTAGCCATTATAAGGATCTAGGGGTAGAAGATATACCTTTTTCAATATATCTGTGATCTAGATACCGCCGGAGATATTGCGCTTATTCTGGAAGGAGTGGGTTTTTTCGTTAGACTACTCTAACTCGATCTCCTTATTACTTAGCACTGCCTTAAGCTTCCTAAGAAGCTCATTGAGACTCAGTTGGATTATATACGCGATATATGGGACGCGGAAGATCGAGATATCTGATAAATACTAAGACTGAAGGTTCTCCTAGATACTCTGCATTAAAGTATTATTGTTAGTTGCGTTATCTGTGGTCACTGATAGGATACGATCCGAGATACCATATTCTGTTAGGATCTGGGTCACGGTTTTACTGAGATTTTTACTAGTATAGGAGCCATAGAGAGGCTCAAAGCCTAGAAGAACCTCACAGTAATCCTAGTTATAATCGATAAAGTAACCAGTGATAGCTATAAAGGCCTACTGGAAAGGAGAAGTCCAGCAATCCAAGGCTATCGATAGCCGGCACCCCTCTAGAAGTCTCTGTAGAATCCCCTTCTGGTTATTCTGGACTGTGATATCGAGATAACGTCGAATGGTTCGTACTAATAGAATCGTAAGTTTAGTGGATGATTGCTGAGCAACCTCTAATATACGGTGGAATTGGGGGTGTTCGATCACTCGAAAGGGCAGATGTATAGTTGAAATGAATCTCAGAATAGTATCGGAGAGACAGTCTTAGGTGAATGATATACTAGTGGTACCTAGCTAGATTGTAGTACTTAATATTAGCTGCTAAATTATAAAGGACTTGCCTACTGTAGTAATACCAGTTAAGTAACCCGGTTAATATACCATTCTTTTAATAAGCTGGTCGATTCTCGGGCCACTTTTCTTTGAATATACTCCAGTTTTGAGGTACGCTGTTATAGGCGAAGAACCAGCACGCCGGAATCTTAGATGGCCAATTGTATAGAGGCATGCCTTACACATAACCTTCGGCTTTCCATTTTTGTCATTCGCAACCTGGTAGAAGCTGTCCCAGATATCCGATTTGCTTTTTGATTCCCATCGAATTGTGTTCTTTACATCAGACTGAGATCCATACTCAGTTATAAGCCACCAACTAACGAATTTATTCCGTAAGTCCTCTATATCATCACACATAGAATCAGATGGATATAAAACCCAGTGCTTTTGAAGGGGAGGTCCGACGCGAGTAAGGGATAAGGGCGCAAAGGTTGAACGAGTTGAACGAGTCGGCGATATCGATAGGACCGGTGTTTGGATACCCAAAAAATCAGAGAAGTTGTCAGGATAAATCCGATCAGAAGCTAAATCTATATCCGAATTGGTGAATGAGAACTGTGATTGAGACATTGAGAAGTTAACAATTATAACATATAATATAGTAGGGTGCTTAAAAGAATAGAGAGGCTTACATTTGAACTTAGACCTCATTAAAAACATTTAGAGGGCCGGCATCTCCCGCCCTCCGCCCGACCCTCGCGGGCGGAGGGCGGATACTTGCTTGCCCTCGCCCGACCCTCCGCCCTCTGAGGGCCGCTCGAGGGCGGCCCTCATCGGCCCGCATAACTAGCCTCTTGTAATTGCTGTAATATGACCTTCTACGCATCGTATAAAGATCAAAATTAGACTATAGATTCGAGTAGACTGCGACATCGCCCATGGACGGGCGGGTGGGCAGTGCCCACGGGCCTTATGTAAGCGGGCGATGGGCACTATCAATACGCCCATGGACGGGCCCTACCCTTAGGGCCCATTGTCCATGGACACCGTAGGCGCCCGTGGGCCTTTTTAGTAAGCAAAATTAGCGTAACACGTGATTTTAATTGACAGATTTCAAAATATTTCAACTAAATTTATATTTTTTATATATTTACAATCATAATTCCGGATTTTTAATAAGATATATATAAATATATATACTATAATTTACTATATATCTAATTTTTATATATATTTAAGACAACTTTATATAATAGTAGGCATCGTGGGCATGCCCGCCGTGGGCATGCCCGTGGGCCTTAGGCGTTATGGACGGGCACTCGAAAATCCAAATAGCCCAAGGCCCACCGTGGACGGGCGATGGGCACCTCCTAGGTGCCCATGGACGGGCGATGTCGCAGTCTACTAACGACCAGTGATCCCATGACCACCAACCCAAGCAAAGATTGTTTAGAGAGCTGGACACGTCCAAATCGTGTCGGCTATATGTACGAGTAGACCTGGCTTTGAACCTCCGCATGGGTCCCTACCCCGGAACCTCGAACCTCACCTCTTGAGGTGAGGTTCCAACCTTACTAACCTCCAACCGCCCATTAACCTCCAGAGGTTCTTTGAGGTTCAACCTCCATCGACCCGCATGAACCTGCATATACATAATTTCTTGACGCCTTTCCTCTTTTGGCTAGATAAAATTGATGATTCATCTCTGTTTTTTACAGCTGTTCCGTTAAACTATAGACTTTCCACTGAATACTCTATCAATATAATGAATTATAAAGATATAGTCATTGAAAAGTAAATAGGAGGCGTGGTCACCTATAAATTATAGGTAATATCCGATGATATCGACGTAGTGGGTGGTCAATAGAGGTCATCGATAAA